TAGTAAACCTATCTTCAATCCCTCTTGATTCTGAAACTAAGGATGCCTTAAAGACAGGGTTACATTTTTTTCATTAGGTAATGAAGGAAACGTTCTTAGTGATATTCTCGTGGAAGTTGTCAACATAACGGATAAATGTCCAGAAGGGACAAGGTGGGAGATGGAACTGGAAATAATCCCACAGATCATGACACATCAAGAACCGATACACAGAAGCAGATTGGCTGGTATTTGGGAAAAGAAACATTACAAAAGAATGATCAAATAGTTCTTCAGGCGGATAAGGGAGGAACGACGGTTGTAATGAACAGGAAACAGTACACGGAGAAAATGGAAACATATTCTTGCCGACCGGAACACTTATTAAATACTAAGGAAGAATCCAACCACGAAGATCAACGGCACGCTGAATGATATACTCAAGGAAATTCATAATAATGAAATCTTTAATCAAAAATGACGCAACGCCACCGACAGCCTACGGACGACCGAAGATGCACAAGGAAGGAAATCCGCTTTGACTAATCGTCAACAACAAGCGTGGAGCAATACACAAACTAGCGAAATTCATTTGCTTGGAGCTCATGAAAGTAAACGACAGACTCTCGAATACCGTCAAAAATTCATGTGAATTTTTTCAAAGGATCCAGAACATTGGGTCGGTTTGGTCGGAACTGTTGGTGAGTTTTGATTTACAATGCATGTACACAATCATCTCAGGCGAGAAGGCGGTAAGCGCCTCGCTGGAGATATTGGAACGAGAAGAGGACGTCCTGGAGACAGAACGGATACGGAAAGAATCGTTAAGACGATTGAATGAAAGGATTCTTTTATAATTTAATTCCACCAAATTTTGCATTTTGACGGTATAGTTGGGTCGAACGGAAACAGAAGGAATGTCTCGACGTCACATGTGACTCTAATCCATCCGTGCTGAGCTTTCTTTCAGGAATTTATAAAATATCATCAGGGCCGGAACTTCAATTGAACTCGTCAAGTTAACCAAATAAAACTACTCGTATTTGAGTAGGGTTTCGAGACTACCAGTAAATCAGTGTAATGAGATGTATTCACCCTATTTCGTGTAAGATGTTTAGACTACCAGTAAATCAGTGTAATGAGATGTATTCACCCTATTTCGTGTAAGGTAATGAAGGACTGGTAGAAGAAGAATTTTCCCACAATGATATGAGTTGAGCTGACGTTTTCATTGAATTTCACATAGCCATGCTTTACCAAAAGTTTATCTCATCCAGA